TTTAAAAATAGATTATTAAGTATATAATGATGATAATAATTTTTAACCAATCTCACCGCAGACTGTAAACTTTAAATGTTTCATCATTTGTTTTCTCAAGTTGGCATAATTCTCATGATATATCTGTAGGAAATCAGATTTTATTCTTAACAGAATAAAACAGAATATGAATGCTGATGAACACTGCGATGGAGAAAAAAGGCTTTTTTGTTTGAAAGCTGTGCGTAGTAACTCGTGATGCATAATTAATGAATGTCTATAATTATCTGTTATAAACTGAAACTTGGAAAATAACTGTAAAAATACTGGGTGATGTAAAAGTACTGTTACCAAGTAGAATAATTGTACAAGGATATAGATAGTTGATCAGCGGATAAAGTAAAATATACGTAAAACAAAAGCAGAGCGGGTGTCATTTGTCTTAACAAGCAAATAGATCACGACCGTGTATTTGCTAAATTTTTCTTCTTATCCTAAACTGGGTGCGCCTGCTTTGATGAAGAGTTCAAAATTTTTTTTCAATTTTCTGGACAGAATATTTCATGTTTCCAATTCATTTCCATTTCTGTTTTTTGGTTTTTTCGCAGTTTGTCCGCTAGATGGTGTGCGAAACTGAAACACTGACTACATGTGCCTTGCGTCTTGTCACGTAACCTGGTCACGCGAAGGGAGATCGAAAGTTCCCTGAACAAGAGCTCTATAAGAAAATCTCAAGTTAAATAATACTTTTTCGAAACATTGCATTTCAAGAATTTGTAGGAGAGGGGTAAATTTTTTTTTTAGAATACCGCACCCTTCAGATCGCCTTGACCCGCGTCTAGTTCAAGAGGCTTTTCAGTAACCTCGCCTTTAAACAACTAAGATGGCGGCCTCAGCACCTCCAGCATACCACGATGTTGTCTCTCCCGAAGAGGCTAGCTCTTTCAGAAGTTCTGTGCCAGCAACACAAGTTGAACTGCATATTTCTTGCAGGTAAAACTTCACAGAAGCTCAGTAACTTTTTACCGGACACCAAACAACATGAATTGTTAGCTTGCATGCTCTGCTGCACGAGCATTCGAAGTCAACCTTTTTCACAACACCTGGAAAATTTTCGAGTTTTTATTGTTTTTATTTTGTTCTATTCAGGAATCTCGCTGATATGGACGTTTTTTCAAAGTCGGACCCAAGTAAGTTTGTTGTATTTGTGAAGAAATAGTTCATGATCGTAGAATGATTATCACGTGCCTGGAATTCATTTTCTGATATTTACAACAATCCGTTCTGTTGCAATTCCACAAAAATTGAATTCATGTAAAACTGCCCTCATATGTCGTTGAACAGAATTTCAATTCAAAAACACGTTTAAATCTGTACTAGATTGGAGTAGATTTTCTCGTGTCCCAGGTGCTTTAATCCTCCAACGACAACAAAAATACGATTTAGATCGATTAATTAGGTTTGAATGTGTTCTCTTGAAGTCTCAAGGATCCACATAACTTTAAGATTAAATTTAAAATATCTCTCGTATGTTTGCGATTTTCATACTTATGAAAAAGCTGTTCCCTGTGCTATTGAATGTATATGTTGTGGTTCAATTTTATCCTTGGTTCAAATTTGATTTTCCTTTGTTTCAAACTCATTATCATACATTGCAATACCCAAAAAACAAAAGAAAGCAAAATTTGAACCAAGGATAAAACTGAACCACAACATATACTACGATTGTGCAATTATTTAGTCTGATCTACGTTCTCCTGAGTTCCAGTTGTAATCCACCAAAAAGAAAGGAAAATTCACCTTAGAGTTGTTTGATTCATTTTTAAATGCAAACATCGCTGTATACATGATAAGGGCTGATTGAGGAAATGTTCAATATTCACATCAAAAATTATATATATAAATTGAACTTTTTGAATGCCACGGTTTAATATGATTTTCCAACAAATTTTCTTCATAACTAGAAATTAAAATACTATGCAGATGATAACATAAACAATTGTTTGCTTTTATATTGAACCACAGCTGAATTTTAATAGGAAACTGAAGCAATGCAATGTTAATCTCTGACAAAAATATGGTTAAACCACCAGCTTGCTGTGGAGATAAAATTTTAATAGCTGAAATCTCTTCCTCAAATGGCTACATTATATTTCAGTGTCTTTGGTTTTAATGGGTATTTTCATGATTTTAAGTAATACTATAATAGTAACAACAACTTATAGAATGTAGGTTATATTTTTTTTAATAGGATTGCAAAATGAAGGGATTTTCAGGGCTCTAAGCTCAAATCTTTATAGATACCATTTGTAGACCTTAGATCATTACATGGTCACTAAAATTAGATTTTTGTCACCTGGCTTTGCTACCCCCCCCTCCTTAGAAAAAAGGAAAGATGAAAACAAAACGGAAAATAGGAAATGGAAAGAGGATTCTTTGACATTGACTGGCAATGGGTTTTGGAGTTCTAAGCGACACATCTCAAGACCTCATAATTAGAAAACTGAGGAAACAGAGGCAACTTTATGATTAATAATATTAAAAACAATTCATCATCGATAATGTTGAAATAAATGGTTACCTCACTTCAACTTCAGATCATTGCATTACTTTTTTATTTAAAATTGCTTGAATAAGTGCTATATTTTAGATGTAATGGTTGGCCATTCCACGGCTTTGGTGCACAAACAGATTGAAATGATATTGTCTTTTCTGCTGGGAAATTATAATTGTGAAATACCGATTGTTTAAATAATTTACATCATGTCTTTCTCACAGTGGTTGTGATGTATACTCAAGGAATGGGAAGTAAAGAATGGAGAGAGGTAAAAAAAGATGTCATGTAAATCTTTTGAAGGGTTTATTAAATGACATTTTTCAGGAGTTGGCTTTTGTTACATAATAAGTTGCATTAGATTTAATGGGTCCTTGTCCAAGGGTGATGATAAGACTGCACCTAAGCTTTGTGGCCTATGCCATTGGAGCATGATCTGGTTTCCTTAACATTCATAAAGAGATTATTTATTTTGGAACTCTCCCTGGACTGGACACTTGCCATAGTGGACTAACCTCTAGCATTTCCTCAGACCTCAGTGACAGATCACCTTGTACTTTTTTTACATTCCTCATTGCAAAGAGGCATTATATATAAGAATGAATTAATTGCAACGTTAGCAACTGATTATTTGCTGGATAAATTATCAAAATCTATTGAAATTTGAAGTGGAGGGTACATGTAAATCATATTATATATGACAGCTGTTTACTGTTTTTTCTAACATAAGTTGTTTCTTATCTTTCAGTTTGGGAGAACAGAGCACATAATGAATACACTTAATCCAGACTTTGTCAAGACATTTACCATCCACTATTTCTTTGAGGAAATGCAGAAGTTACGGTTTGAAGTGTAAGTTGAAGAATGTACTTACTAATTGGAAGAAACTTTTATATCTATAGAGACTCTTTATCTACAATCTTCGTTTCCTCTAAATTTTGACAACATGTTGAAAGAAGTTGATTTTAAAGCTTAGTAAATTGTTAAAATGTTTCGTTTTTATAGGTATGATCTGGATAAAAATTCTGCCAAGTTATCAGACCATGTGAGTATCAGGCACTTACCCCTCTATGTTATTAACCCTTTACAACCTAATATCAGTATGCATATTCTCCATACTGTTCTCTATACATTTCCTATGGTGCTGACAAGGAGAATTTGTTTAACAATCAAGAGTTTCTTTAGTTGGTGATCATTTCCTTTATTCTCATGACCTTCATGTGTGACTTAGGGGTTATATTGTAGGGAGAAATTAGATGCGAGTTATTCTTAG